ACAGGTAGAAGTTTACTAAAGAGATCCAATCTAGGATTAAGGAGAAATTTCCTGACAGTGAGAACAATTAATCCATGGAATGGTTTGCCACCAGAAATTGTGGGTGCTCCATCACTTGAAAATCTCCAGAAGAGATTGAACAACCATTTGTCTACAGTGGTAAAGGGTTTCCTGCTTGAGCTGGGGGTTGGACTAAAAGACTTCCAAGGATCCTTCCAACCCTGTTATTTTATGTCAGTGAGAAAGAAAATGACTGGGAAGATATAGGAGAGATTACTTTGATTTTTTAAAATATAATTAAATATAATTCAGATTCAAAATAAACAGCATAGCAGTGTAAACACTAATAACTAAGCAAATCCTTAAGGGGGGTTCAGAATAAAAAACTGGGAATTTATTTTATTTATTTATTTATTTTATTTCTATACCGCCCTTCTCCCGAAGGACTCAGGGCGGTCTACAGCCTAATTAAAAACACAACGACAGACAATATTTAAAAATAATTAAAATTATTAAATAATAGGCCCAATTTATAAAACCCCAAATTTAAAATCCCAATTAAAACCAATTAAAATCTTATATTGATAGCCCAGCCTGGCGGAACAACATGGTTTTGAGGGCACAGCGAAATACCCTGAGGTCAGAGATTTTGCGAATTTCGGGGGGGAGTTCATTCCAAAGGGCAGGGGCTCCCACAGAGAAGGCCCTCCCCCTGGGTGTCGCCAGCCGACATAATTTGGCCGATGGCACCCTGAGGAGACCAGACCCTCTCTGTGGGAGCGGACTGGCGGGTTGGAGGCTACTGGTGGCAGAAGACGGTCTCGAAGGTACCCAGGTCCAATGCCATGGAGCGCTTTAAAGGTGGTAACCAATACCTTGAATCGCACCCGGAAGATCACTGGGAGACAGTGCAGCTCACGCAGGAGGGGTGTCACGTGGGCACAACGAGTTGCGCCCATAACCACCCGCGCGGCCGCATTCTGGACCAGCTGGAGCCTCTGGGTGCTTTTCAAGGGGAGCCCCATGTAGAGAGCATTGCAGTAGTCCAGTCGGGAGGTGACAAGGGCGTGAGTGACTGTGCGCAAGGCGTCACGGTCCAGAAAGGGCCGCAACTGGCGGATCAGGCGAACCTGATAGAAAGCCCCCCTGGCCACGGCCGTCATATGTTCTTCTAAAGACAGCCGATTGCGAGCCCTCTCTGTGGGGGGTAAAGACTCACCCCCAATAGTCAGCGATGGTACCAGCTGACTATATTGCGGCGCCGGAAACCACAGCCACTCGGTCTTGGAGGGGTTGAGCCTGAGCCTATTTCTCCCCATCCAGACCCGCACGGCCTCCAGGCAATGAGACATCACATCAAGGGCATCGTTGGGGTGGTCTGGGGTTGAGATGTACAGCTGAGTATCATCAGCGTACAGATGGACTCTCACCCAAAACCACGGATGATCTCACCCAGCAGCTTCACATAAATGTTGAACGGAAGGGGCGAGAGGACCAACCCCTGCGGCACTCCCCATGCAAGGCACCTCAAAGTCGACCTCTGCCCCCCTGTCAACACGAACTGCGAGCGGTTGGAGAGGAAGGAGGAGTACCACGGCAAAACGGTGCCCCCTATTCCTAACCCCCTCAACCGCTGCAGCATGATACCATGGTCGATGGTATCAAAAGCCACTGAGAGATCTAACAGGACCAGGACAGAGGAGCAACCCCTGTCCCGAGCCCTTCAGAGATCATCCACCAACGCAACCAATGCCGTTTCTGTGCTGTACCCCTGCCTGAAGCCCGACTGGTATGGGTCCAGATAGATAGCTTCATCCAGGTGCCCAGGCAGTTGTCGTGCCACCACACTCTCAACAACCTTCGCCATGAAACGAAGGTTGGAGACCGGACGGTAATTGGCTAATTCAGCCAGGTCCAGGGAAGGCTTCTTGAGGAGGGGCCTCACCACCGCCTCTTTCAAGGCAGCGGGAAAGGCACCCTCGCTCAGAGAAGCACTTATGAACCCCTGGAGCCAGCCTCGTGTAACCTCCCGGGAGGCCAGTACCAACCAGGAGGGACACAGGTCCAATAAACATGTGGCGGCACTAATCCTACCCAGAACCCTGTCCACATCCTCGGGAGCCACAGGATCAAACTCCTCCCAGATATCGCAGTCAGTGACCTAAAATTTAAAACAACATTCTTCAGAAGAGAGAGAAGTTATAATATTTCCCCCTATGGCTAAAAAAAAAGTAGACATGTATTAAATCTCTTTCTAAAAGCCAAGGAAAAAGTTCCATTCAGATGTCTGTGGCCATCTGAAAATATATTCATTTTCTAAACCATGAAGGGCTTTAAACCAGCACCTTGAATTGCACTTAAGAGTCAAAAAGGAGCCAGTGCAGTTTTCAAATTATTAAAGGGTTATATGGGTGTACTGAAGCATGCCTATAACTAACTGGGTTGCTGCATTCTGGATCAGTAACAGCTTCCACATGCTATTCAGAGTCACTTCTATGTAGAATAAAAGCTAGAGGTGACTAAGCCATGACTGACTATGTTTAGTGCCCACCATTCCAGGAAGGATTATAATTTTTGTACAAGATACTCTTAACCATAGTTGCCATTTGCTCATCAAGCAAGTGCTGTAACTCGGGAGGATCCCCAAGTTACACAACAATTCTACATGGGGGAGTATTTCTTTGTTTAGAACTGAACATGAGAACTGTTCTAAGTCGGATGGTTTATGAACTCTAAACCTTTGCACCTTATTAGTATTAAGCCTCAACGTATACCTCTGGTATATCAATTTTAAGGTATCTTGGAGCACTTGGACACCATCAGTTCATTCACTCAAAGTCAGAGTATAAAGTTGGGTGTCAGGAGTGGACAGGTGATACCTGACCATGAGTTGATGGATGATTTCACCTGGTGACTTCATGTAGATGTTGAATATAAATGAAATAAATGTTGATCACTGTGGTATCCTACAACTGAGAGTTTTGCATTAAAGTATTGCATTCTATAAACATTTTCATAGGCCTTTCCTATACAAACCTGTTCATCTTTTAAAAAAAAAACAACAGGTCCTATTGCTTTGTTGGGTTACTTTTTGTTAAAAAGCAGAACTTCAGGGTAAAACTAAAATAAAGGTACAGTTTAAAAAGTAATAAGGCCAAAGGAAAAGTAAGTGAGAAAAGGAAAAAAATAATCACAGCGGTGGAGGAATGGAAAGTGAAGAAGTCAGAATTTACAGAAATGGCAAAAGTGATTTAGTCAGAGAAAAAACAATTTTTTTTCTGAATGTTTGGAAACCTTGCTAAAAGAAAAATCAAATAATCTTCAAAAATATGAATTTCACAGAAAAGTAAGATCTGCAAGATTCCTTCCAACCCTATTATTTCTAGGTTCTGTGATCTATGGATCTGAAGATTAAGAAAGTTGTGGATTAAATGAGAGGCTGAAGAGACTTGTATTGCATCAGGGGAATAGGGAAAATAAAATCACAATTATCTGTTGAAAAGCTTGGAAGACATTCATAATATTTAATCTTTCCCTCGTTTAAATTTTTTCACACTTTCTTATTTCTTTCCTTTTTTCTTTTGGTTTGTCTTCTATGAAAAAAAATTATAAATTTAAAAAGATGGGAAGAAAAATCATAAAATTATTTGTAAATTATAAATATTTTAATTCAGTATTAAGTTTGTGATTTTAAAGAAAAATACAAACATTTAAAGCACCTATATTTTTAGCATAGAATGACATTTGTACAAACTTTATTATGAAAAAAACATCATGAATTAATTGTGATCATAATTCAATAAATTTATCCTTCATTGCAGGGTTTTCCGAACTCTTACATTAATTTTTCAGACAAAACAGCAGGAATTGAATCAATTCCTTTAAATCAATTGAATCAGTTTCTTCTGTTGTATCAATTTATGTGTGTTAAGGAATATAGACATTAAACCAATAGTAGGATTTGTGCCAAAGAGCTGGTCAGAAGTAATATTTTAATATCAAATGAGTCAATACCTTCATTCCTTCACAATCTACATTTGGTCCCTTAAGCCCATTAAAATTTATGAAAAATTATATTCATCTACTTCATTTAATTGTAATTAAAGCCAATGTTGTTGTTTAATTGTAATCTTAATCTTAACCCACCCGCCCCTGAAGATAATTTGGGTTTCTTATGTTGCAGCACAGAATACTTGTTAAATTTATTTTACCAAGTCATCAAAACTGATTATGAAGATAACCCAAAGGTTTACAATAGACACTGCTAAAATTAGACAATATAAATTGTAGCTGTTCTAGATTTTGTTAGCAAATTTATATTCCAATTGGTACAAATTACCATATTCAGTGGCCAACTTTTTTGTTCGGTTTCTGATGAATCTTATGAAAATCACTCAATAGTGCTTCAGATTAAAACACAATATATAACATATTAGTAATTACAATTCTGCTATAAATTTTTGTATCTTTCCATTCCTTATATTAAACAGAACTATCCTTTGCTTTTAAAAAAAGGATGATTTAGGAATGAAGGTACAGAAGAAAAGTAAGGAGCCAAAGAATGTTTTCATTTTTTCCAAACTTCTAAAGTAAGTTTTAACCAAGCTTTAAGGGAATAGATACTATGTTTAAAGAAGTCAGAAATCACATCATCCTAACCAGAACTGAGCCCAGTGCTAACTTGATTTGTATCCATCAAATATCATTTAGTTTCCTAATAATATGAGTTGGCTTTAAGTGAAAGACATTAAAATGTTTCTAATTTGATATATGTAAACCTTTGTCATGCTTTTGTTAATAATGCATGGTTTGCCCAATACTTTATTTTTATAGCTAAGTAGAAAATTAAGAAAAAATATGTTAGAAGGGGCGGGGATAGGAATTGTCTGTCTTTTATGTATTTTCATGGAGCTGAGATACATAGAAGGTAGGGAGATGAAGAAGGAGCAATTTGCCTTTCATATATAACAAGTTGTAATCTCTGTTTTATTCTTTGACAGCCTCCAAAGGTAAAATGTTTGACAAGAATCTGGCATCCAAATATAACTGAGACAGGGGAAATCTGTTTGAGGTAATTCATTATTTAAATAGTTCAGTTTTCTTTTATTACTATTTTATCAAATATGTACATAAAAGGGGCAGGTGGGTGAAGAGCATATATAAGTTTAAAAAGAAAATGGAATGCCTAATACTTCTAGAGGATTTTTTTTTTTTGCTTCAGTCTGTTTGATCAACAGTTGAGCAGTTAATTAGCAGCTAATTCAGTGGACAAAAATTATGCAAAAGGTATATTAAGTATAGAGGTAACCATCTACCTGCTTCTACACTCTAGTAATTGTAATTTTTCTAAACTAAAGCATTGGCTTTATCTGATCTTCTTAAATCTATTAATTATTAAATATGCCCTTCTGAAATAGTAAATTACTTTCATCATTTTAAGGAAAGAACAACATTAATTGTATACATTCTTATAAAGAAAAGGACAGAATTTTATGAAAATTAGAAAGTGGTTGAAGAGAGCTGAATGACAGGAAGAAAGTTAAAATAAAGGGAAGGAATCACTATATAACTTTTAAAAGAGAAAGATCAGATATAAATTTAACAAATGGAAGGAGGGAAAGAGAAAGTGAATGTAACACAGTATACTATTATGTCTTCCTCTATGACTAGGAGAAGAATGTTATAACCATCTTTTGCTTTAAAAAAGAGAAATAAATGTGATAGTTTATAAAATAGACAACCAATATTTTACATGAATGAAAGTGAATATACATGTTCCAGGATAATGTTGCAGAATCTAATCTGGGTTGGCCACCAGGGCCAGAGGCTTAGTCTTCCCAGCTTTCAGACTTGTTTCTGGAGCCCATCTTCAGGGAACTTCTTTCTAGCAGAGTGTATGTTTTGGGCTATTGTGTGTGTGGTATTTATGTGGTGCCTGTTGTATGTGGCTTTTTAGATGTTGATTGGGCTGTTGATGACTGGCTATTAAGTCATTTGCTGTTAAGTCTTCTGCCTTTAAGTACTTGATAAGATGGTGATAAATCAACACTCCTGTTGATTAACGAGGTGCCCATTTCCCTGGCTTCAATCACTTCCCTGGCTGCTCATCCAACAATCTTAATAGCTGCAAAATTGAATGTATATCATTGTTCATTGCAGTGTGAGGCTACTAATGAGTTTGAGTCTCCTTGTCTGACTGCTCGCTAGTGTTCTTGCAATCTGGTCGTTAATTTCCTCCCCAACTGTCCTACATAGAGACAGGCAATCCATGCAGGGGATTCAGTAGATTACATTGGAAGTATCTCCAAGCGATCTTTACAATGCATAATTTGTCCTCGTATGGTAGCCTCTGGGTGGTGTGCAATGTCCACTTGCAGATCTCAGAGGTTGTGTTCTACAGCTTCTGAAATATTTTTGATGTATGGGAGGGTGTGCCATGTGGTTGGTGTTGTACCTTGTTTCTTCCTTTCTCTCCCCACCGCATACATCTTGTAACAAATGATTGTGGGTACCCATTCTTCATGAATTGTTCATGTAGGTGCCCCCAGCTGTTCAGCTTACTGGGTACTACAGTGGGTTCTCACCAGCGGTGGGTTTCTACTGGTTTGCACGAATAATTTGGCCTGGGTAACGGTAGCAACCGCTGGCTGGCCATGCCCCCAAACCGGTCGCCCAGTCACCGCTCACTAACCACACCCAACCCTCACCTCCCAGGCGGCTTGGCTGCCTAAGCTGCCTTCCCATGTGGTGCCTGCCCTGCACCCCAACTGAGTTGCCTCCTCCTGCCTACAGGTAAGTCCCGCTAGCTTCACCCCTCCCCGGAGCTTGCTGCACCCCCCCTCCACAGTCGCCACTGAGCTCGCATGGCTGGCTAAGCCACCACCGCCTGGCACGGCACCATTCCAGACCGCGCTGACTGCAGCCTAGCTTGCCGTGGGCCCCCCACTGTCCTCACCTGTTGTGACCCAGGCCCAAGTAAGTAGTAGGAAAATCAGTCAGTGAAAAAACAAACAAACTTTATTTGAACAGCTGAGAATTACTTCATTCCCAGCGTCGTTCAACCAAATTAAAGCAAATTCCTCCCAACACAAATTCCTCAGTCCTATCGCAAACCTTGTCCAATTAGGCAAACTGCCAAAGGCCTTTCTTGGCAAACGTTCAGAAGTCACAGATACAAAAATAAATACAAGACGTAGATGAAGAAGGCGAAGCTACCAACGTTGTTTTCCGGCAAAGCCCAAACGCTGTTGCTGGTCTGTTTTAAGCCTTATGGGAGGGGTCAATCATCCCTTGGCCCTACTCCCAAGTTGTCCTCTTTGCTTGAGCTGCTCTTGGCTTCTGGCAGCTCGTCTCATGCATGCATTAGGAACAGGCTCCTCCGGTTCCTCTGTCTCACTCCTATCAGTTTCTGGAGGCTCTGGAGTGGCCCATGGCCTAGGGGTGAAATGTAAAATTTGTTACTACCGGTTCTGTGGGCATGGCTTGGTGGGAGGGGGGGTAATGTGACTGGGTGGGCATGGCCAACTTTTTTTTTTTTAACTTTTCAAAGCAATGTTTTTTGCAAATGCAAAAAAACACCACAACACCACCAACGGACACCACAACACAACGGACCACAACACCACCAGGGTCATGACCTTTCCTTCCTCCCATGGCTGATGGCAGAGGGGAAGGTATGCCAGTGCCCACGCGGAACATTGTTGTTAAGGAGGATCACTCCTCGGCCCTAGTCATGTGTTTTCAAGTCCGGACTATTGCAATAGCTTTTCACTCCAAGCAGCCCAGGCTTGAAAACGCATAGCTGGGGCCAAGGAGTGGTCCTCCTTAACAACCTCCAAAACTGCTCCAAGCCTCGTGGGTGCTGAAAGTACCAGCCTTCAACCTGGCTGTTTCTCTGTGCCTGGCTCTCCGGATGGGTCCCCAAAGCGCTGTGCTGCAAAAGATGCTCCCCCAGCAAGAGAGCAATGGAGAGAAGCAGCTGCTGATCACATGGAGCATTGTTCTCCAGTGACCTGTTTTCTCTCCACCACTCCCTTGCTGGGAGAGTGAAAGAGTGTTTCGCAGCACAGCGCTTTGGGTTCTGTAAGTCCCATCCGGAAAGCCTGGCAAAGAGAAACAGGTTGAATCCTGTTTCTCTCTGGAGCAGAGCTTTCTGGACTTACCAGGACCCAAAGCGCAGTGCTGCGAAAACTCTCTCTCTCTCTCTCTCTCTCTCCCAGCAAGAGAGCGGGGGAGATAAAACAGGTTGCTGGAGAACACGTGGAGGGCTCCATCATGTACTCTCCAGTGGCTGCTGCTTCTGTCCCCTGCTGCTGTTGCCTGGGAGAGAGAGTCTTTTGGAGCACTGCACTTTGGGAATCGGACTCCTGTAAGTCCCATCTGGAAAGTCTGCGGTTTCCCACAGCCCCGAGGGAGCTGCCTGGAGCTCCCCTTTCAGCCGCAGCCGTTGCCCCCCACCTGCTGTGACCTCCTCCCCATTCCCCCCTCGCTTTTCCATTTCTGCGCCTGGATTCTGCTTCCTACACCTTCTTCCCCATTCCCCCCTCGCTTTTCCATTTCTGCGCCTGGATTCTGCTTCCTACACCTTCTTCCCCATCCCCCCTCGATTTTCCATTTCTGCGCCTGGATTCTGCTTCCTACACCTTTTTCCCCATCCCCCCCTCGCTTTTCCATTTCTGCGCCTGGATTCTGCTTCCTACACCTTCTCCCCATTCCCCCCTCGCTTTTCCATTTCTGCGCCTGGATTCTGACTCCTTACCTTTGGCTCTGTGCCCTCCCCTCCCCTCGCTTCTCCACTTTTGCCTCTGCGCCCGGCACTGGCAACAGCTTTGTCCTTATGGAAGGAGTCAGTGCCCTCAATGCCCCCTTGAGGAAGCTGGGCTGTGGTCAGCTGCGGAATCCCAGTGCTGGAGGGCTGGACTGGGTGCTTGCCCACCGCTGCCCAGGGCTCTGGAATGGAAGTATAAAGGGGAAGGCCTTGCTCCAGGGTACAGCGAGGGTGGCACAGGAGATACCCACCAGACCACAGGCGGCACAGTTCCAGGTTGTCCAAGCCCAGAATTTCAAGTCTGGTGGCATAAGGGATTCTATTGTGAGTAGAGGAGGGGAGTACTCTTCTCGTAAAATACCCCTGGACCCGCTCAATCATGTTAATGTCCAATATACAGTGTGGATTCCAGGCGGATGAGCTATATTCAAGAATTGGTCTGGCAAAGGTTTTGTATGCCTTAGTTAGCAGTACTAGGTGGCTCAGACACTGAGCTTGTCGATCAGAAAGGTCGGCAGTTCGGCTGTTTGAATCCCTAGTACCAGTCCCTTGCGTGAGCAGGGGGTTGGATTAGATGACCTCCAAGGTCCCTTCCAACTCTGTTACTGTTACCCTGAGGTTGTAACTGTGAAAAATGGTCAGAAGTCACAATGTTACCGGAGAAGAAGCTTTGCCAGATTAGGTTAACAATTCTTAATGCCTTTTTGGCAATGCTGTTACAGTGAGCTCTGGGGCTTAGATTGTTTGAGATGAGTACTCCTAGGTCCTTGACAAAGTGAGGGTCGTCTACGAGATCATTTCCACCCAACTTGTATGTGGTGTTGTGATTTTCTTTGCCAATGTGAAGGACAGAGCATTTATTAGTTGAGATTTGGAGTTGCCAACTGCATGACCATTCTGACACATAATCAATGTTGCTTTGTAGGGCAACAGCATTGTCAGTGGTGTTGAATAATTTTACATCATCAGCGAAGAGGACACACCTGCTTTTAATATCACATAGATTATTGATGTAAAGCGTAAAGAGTGTGGGTCCTAAAATGCTGCCTTGGGGGACACCGCTGTTAACAGGTGCCAGATATGATTGGGCCCTCCCTATTTTTTTTTTTTTATTGAAAAAGTTTTCAAATACAAATTTTTCCCCCTTTTTTTCCCCCCTCTCCCTCCCCCTCCCTAATCCCCCCTCCCCACCCATCCCCCCCGTGACTTCTTCATAACAAAAAAAAAAAACCTAATTCATAACAGATTACTTACTCCCTCCTCTAGATATTGACCTTTACTTACTAAAAATATTATTAATATTA